CTAAAAATAACCTAAAATAACACGAAATATCAGTTTGCTACAAATTGCGGCAGAATTGTGCAATTTTGACGCAAATTGTGTAATTCCGTGCAAATGACCTCAATTAAGCTTCTCTTGAACCTGAATGATGTTTACCATGCCTTGATAATCATCCAAGCTTCGATTTGCTTGTTGTATGTTGTTTTCAACCCAGATCTGCTCAATAAGGCCATTTAAAGCTTCACGCATCTTCTTAGCTCTAGCTCGCGTGACTGGACCTCCTTGGGTGTGTAATGGATCACATGACATAGTAGATATGCTGTCGTCTTGATTCCCATCACGAATGTTGTGTTTGAACCTGGAGATTGGATTTGGGTGCATATGTAGAAGGAGCGATTCCTTGCACAAAGGCGTTCTAAGTTGCAACCTAGAGGCGATGGACCATTTCAAGTGATTGCAAGGATAAACAACAACACATACAAGTTGGAGCTTCCTGGTGAGTATAATGTTAGTGCTACTTTTATTGTTTCTGATCTTTCTCCTTTTGATGTAGGTGACGATTTGAGGACAAATCCTTTTGAGAGAGGGAATGATGGGAATCAAGATGACCCCACATGTACCATGTCAAGAGATCCATTACACATTCCAGGAGGTCCAGTCACGAGAGCTAGAGCTAGGAAGATGCGAGCAGCTTTAAATGGCCTTATTGAGCAGATCTGGGTTGATAACAACATGCAACAAGTAAATCAAAGCTTGGATGATTATCAAGGCATGGTAAACATCATTCAGATTCAAAAGAAGCTTAATTGAGGTCATTTATCCTAAATTACACAGTTTGCGTCAAAATCTCGCAATTCTGTTGCAATTTGTAACAAACTAATATTTCATTTTACTTTAGGTTACTTTCAGTAATTTTCACATTTTTTGTATTATTTTGGGCTGAACATTCATTTATTTGGATTAGGGCTTAGGGTGTTAGTTTCCTATTCTGATTAGAATTACTTTTCCCTATTTAAAGGGCTTGTAACCCTAATTGGGGGGAGCGATTGAATCTGAGTTTTTGAGAGACTTTTTCTCTTTGGTTTGTTTTAGAACTTTACAGAACTAATCAAGATTATTCTTGTGGCATTCTAACCTGACTTATCATTCTCGTTCTTAATTGTTTGAGGGTGTGGCGTCAACCAACTTTATACCTTTGGTTCTTGTTGCGTCATAGACAACGGGTCAAGGTTTTTACCTTTGGTTCTTGTTGCGACATAAACAATGGGTCAAGGTCCTATTATAAACCTGATTTGGCTTTCCTGGAGTTTAGAAATCCCTTGTCATGCTGTGGGTCTCATCCTCCTCTTTGGGGTTCTCATCACCTAGGGTCTAGCTGCAGGTAATTTGCAACTCGATGTCCATGCTTACCACATCTAAAGCAAGCCCCGGTAGCAGTACGACATTGGTCATGAGTGGGCCCAATTTTCCCACAAGTGTGGCAACTAGGTTGAGCAGTATGCTGGGCTGCTGATGCCCAGCCTATAGTCTTAGTAGCTCTTAGTGACCCTTACTTTAAATTAGTGAATTCCCTTTGTAGTTCATGCCTTTTGTTATCAGGTATGTATTCCTGCATGAACAGCTTCTTAAAACCATCCCAGGTGCTCAATTCTCACTCTCCATGATGTACTTTAAGTAATCTTCACCCGTAAGCATGTAACTGCCCCCATCGACCTAATGGTCATCGAAAATTTTCAATAGACAGAATCCTCTCTCCACCTCAGTAGTCCATGACTCAACTTGTTCAAAACCTAATGTACCATCAAATCGCATAGCTACCACCTTCTGGAATTTTGTGTAGATCTTCTAGTTAGGTATAGCCAGAGTGGAAGAAATGGGAGCAGGAGCCATAGGAATTGTAATATCCCAAAATTTTCTAGGATTTAAGTTAGGGATTTATACGGGAGAAATTATTGTTGTGGGGCCAAATAACAAAAATTTTCAAACCTAAGGGGGTTAGAAAAGAGAAGTCTTGTGATTAAAATGAGCTAAGGTCTGGCCTTCCTTTTTTTTTTTTTTTTCTCCTTGCCTTTTCATGTTTCCCTAGCTCTGTACCAGAAAATTTGCCACCCATGTTCCCTAGCTTGTGCCGAGCCTCTTTTTGCCAAGAATAAGGTGAGATTTAGCATTTTTCTTCCTTCTCCTAACAAGTGTTAGAGATTAATAGGTTTATGATTCTCAAAATCATGAACAAAATTCCAAATTTGGGCTGTTGTATCCTCCAAAACCTCTCACCCATATCTCATAAATCCCCTAGACAGTAGCTCATTGTCCCCCACCCCACCGCAGTCATGTGTCACCTTTGGCAGCCCTCAGTTTCCCCTTTTTTGCAAGCAAACACTGGCCCCCCTCAAGTTCCGGCTGTCTCGGCCATTTGGGTTTCATTTTAAGAGGAACCGCCACTCTAACTCACAATTTTCTGGTAAGATGTGAGCACGAAACCAATATTTTTCTTTCTCTAATTTTGGTAGACTTAGTTGAATATTGACCATTTGAGATTTGGGAAATAGCATAGGATTTATGGGTATTCTGTTTTTTATCTTCTTGAAAGATTGTGACCAGTGGCGGAGCCAGGGGGGTGCGAGGGGGAGTGCTCGCCCCCCCTGAAATTTGAAAATCTTACAAATTAGTATATGAAAAATTTTCTAACCTCTCCTGAACTTTGAAAATTTTAGTATTTTGCCCCCCCTGAAAAAAATTTCTGCCTCCACCCCTGATTGTGACAGTGTCGTGTTGGGTGAATTTGGAAACTGTTTATGCTTTTCCTGCCTCTAAACATGCAGCAGTGTTGATGTTTTTCTACAACTGTTAGTATGAGATCAAGTGCTGTCATGTTCACTTTGCTGTAGTTCTCACACTTGAATTTGCGCTATTTTGTTTTAAGAAAAGTTTTCCATTTGGTGGCTGTGTTTGTCTAGAGTTTTGCCACTATTTTTGCTTAGATTCTTCTATTGTTTTGTCTTGAACTTTCTACTGTTTGTGTTCAGAATTTGTACCTGTTGTGGTGTAGAATTTATTTGCATTTTCCTGCACTTATCCTTGCTGTTGTCTGCTTTATTCTACCCAGAATGATGGGAATCAAGTCGACAGCATATCTACTACGTCATGTGATCCATTACACACCCAAGGAGGCCTAGTCACGCGAGCTAGAGCTAAGAAGATGCGTGAAGCTTTAAATGGCCTTATTGAGCAGATCTGGGTTGAAAACACCATATAACAAGCAAATCAAAGCTTGGATGATTATCAAGGCATGGTAAACATCATTCAAGTTCAAGAGAACCTTAGTTGAGGTCATTTGCACAGAATTACACAGTTTGTGTCAAAATCGCACAATTCTGCCGCAATTTGTAGCAAACTGATATTT